CTCGCGTGAATGTCATGGAGTATAACCAACTTGAATGATGACCGTCCTTGAATCTATCATTTTGTAGTCTAAGAACTTTTCCACAATGAACTTCTTAGTTTCAGCGTCTTCAATCTTGTATTTCCTTTCCAAGGATTCCCATAGTTCCTTTGCAGATTTCATGGAACTATACACATTATATAATGTGTTATCCAATCCATTCAAAATGTAGTTTTTTCATAAGAAGTCAGAATGTTTCCAAGCATCCAATGCAATCAATGATGCCCTATTATTTTTTCCTTCTTGTACGACGGGAACATCTTCTTTTAAGAGTTTTGTCAAGTTTAGAATTGTGAGATAAAAAACATTTTCTGCTACCATCTCTTGAAATCAACCCACTAAACTTCTCCGGTTTCTCTCCATGTGGAACAAAATTAGTATGAATGGTGGGAAGGCAACTGCAACCGAAGGAATCACAACAATAGGAGCCATGTTTGGTAACACTCCTTCCGAAATTCCAATATTCACGAGCGATAGACTTATCTGTCCGAAGCCCATTTTCGTTTTCTGTATATTTATAGCACGACTTGTATAAATATAACAACAACAAAAGATTCATACAATATCTTGAGAGCTTTAGTTTTCAATTGAGTGCATTGAGATCTTGTAAACACAATTACTTTTGATTATAGTGGATTTCTCATATGTCCGTGATTTTTCCCGTATTGGGTTTCAACGTAAATCTTGGTGTTTACTTTCTTCTTTTTTATTTTATTATCGTCATTATCTTGCGATTCAAACTTATAACAAGTGGTATCAGAGCAATTCTGGTATCTTGTTTGTTTCATAACAAACATAATCAAATTGAGTCCAATGCTACTATTGTAGGCGCAAAATATGCTTGTTGTCTATGATCAAAAGTGTTGCTAGGGAGGATAATTCTTTTTCAACTGTATTAATACATTAAGAAAATATTCCATATGACAAATATATTTTACACATAAAAAAAATTATCTTTCATATAAAAAAGTAAATGGGCTTGGACAGTTCTGGTGTCACGCACCTAGATTGCTCATCTCCCCATATGACACGGCAATGTTTCTAATAACATGCTTATGGACTATATTGTCGAATAATTACATTAATAGTTTCATTATACACAAGTATTATCTAGCATCCTACTCAAAAACATGCGTTTTATTTGTAGGATGAGAACATTCCTTTGTTGGCACAAATATGACGAGTAGCACCTGTATCAATCCATCATTCCATGGGATTTCCAACATTGTTGCATTCTGAAACAAATGACAAATTCATATCTGATATACCATTGGATATTGCATCAGATTCGGTGATACTTACTTAAGCTTGCTTCTTAGGTTTACGACAATAAACTGAGAGATGTCATGCATTTCCACAATTATAGCAATTGTCCTTTAACTTCTTTGCATTATTCTTGGATGATTCAATGGAGTACTTTCTTTTCTTGCTTTTGTTATAGGATTTCACTACATTAGCCTTAGTTTGTAGTATATGACTACCAACACATTTGTCTAAATTTCAATTATCTTCTTCAATTTTCAACCTGACAATGAGTTCTTCAATATTCATCTCATTGCGCTTATACTTGAGATAATTTTTGAAATCCTTCCACATGGGTGGAAGTTTCTCGATAATTGCAGTCACATGAAATGATTCACTTAGAGACATATTCTCGACGTGAATGTCATGGAATATAACCAACTTGAATGATGACCGTTCTTGAATCTATCATTTTGTAGTCTAAGAACTTTTCCACAATGAACTTCTTAGTTTCAGCGTCTTCAATCTTGTATTTCCTTTCCAAGGATTCCCATAGTTCATTTGCAGATTCATGGAACTATACACATTATATAATGTGTTATCCAATCTATTCAAAATGTAGTTTTTTCATAAGAAGTCGGAATGTTTCCAAGCATCCAATGCAATCAATGATGCCCTATTATTTTCTCCTTCTTGTACGGCGGGAACATCTTCTTTTAAGAGTTTTGTCAAGTTTAGAATTGTGAGATAAAAAACATTTTCTGCTACCATCTCTTGAAATCAACCCACTAAACTTCTCCGGTTTCTCTCCATGTGGAATGAAATTAGTATGAATGGTGGGAAGGGCAACTGCAACCGAAGGAATCACAACAATAGGAGCCATGTTTCACTCCTTCCGAAATTCCAATATTCGACGTATCATTCGAAGAAATATCGGTATTGATAATCATATTCATTTATGTTTACACAAAACAGAAGATAAACCAAAATCAAAATTTGAGAAGGAACAGAAGAAGTTAAATCGAAGCAAAATCAGTTTAACCGAATACAATTCAAGAGTGAAGTTATCACTCAAACCGGGTTCGACTTAAGAATGTTAGAAAACGATATGATGAGTAATGACTTTAAACCAAAAATCAACTTACCAATCCTTACCAAAATAAATTGGACAGAGTAACGATAAGGATATGAGTAAAAAAATCTAAAGAAAAGAATGTAACATCAAACGAAGTGTATGTAAAGTCGAGGCAAGAGTTGAACTCTTTGTCCTTAAGTCGAATTTGTCCCGCAACAGTGTCTAATGATGATGGCAATCAACTTACAAGATAGAACGACAAACTTCTTATATTAGTAGCACTTTAAAACACAAGAACAACGAACCAGAAATTGGTTTTTGTACTCCTTCAAATGAAAATGGAAAACGTAGCTTTTATACAGAGTTTTGGCTAGGAAAAGGATGCATATAATGTTATGCTATGATTGCATATCATTGGGATGAACAAATTGACGTCCTAAGAGTCTAATTTATATAGAAGGAAAGGTTGTGAGTGAAGTACCGCGCTCCAAATTCAGCAACAATTGCAAAGGGTAGTGACATTTGCCGTCGCCCTTGAGTCGCTTGAGCGTCAGAAACAAACACTCTGTCGCTCGCCTGCCGCTCAAGTGCTAGATGAGCGACGGAGTTGATCAAATTTTCAGCCAGTTTCCTCATTTTTTCTTTCAACTTTAAACCGTAATTTCTCATTCACCCGGAATTGATATGGAAATTCCAAATATACCACGACAATCTACTAGATGAGTAGAATAAATTAGTCTATTTATTTCCATAATTTGTCTATCAGATCACGTCCAAATATTTGATCGAAATTGATGCGTAAGTCACTTTTTCATGATTTTATACATGTGAGTGAAGTACCGCGCTCCAAACTTAGCAACAATTGCAAAGGGTAGTGACATTTGTCGTCGCTTGAGCGTCAGAAACAGACACTCTGTCGCTCGCCTGCCGCTCAAGCGCTAGACGAGCAACGGAGTTGATCAAATTTTCAGCTAGTTTTCTCTCTTTTTTCTTCCAACTTTAAACCGTAATTTCTCATTCATCCGAAATTGATATGGAAATTCCAAATATACCACGACGATCTACTCGATGAGTAGAATAAATTAGTCTATTTATTTCCATAATTTGTCTATCAGATCACGTCCAAATATTTGATCAAAATTGATGCGTAAGTCACCTTTTCATGATTTTATACTTAAACCAATTCTAACACTAACAATATTGTTTTCAATAATTATGTTTGAATCTTCAACAAATATTGATTTTCAATGTTACCTGTTGATGATCATTTTTTATATTTTCAACTCTTTTTTCATGTAACCAATTTTTTTTTTTAATAAAATTTCCTAAAATCTGGAACCTTAGGCGACCACATTCCTTATTTAGAGGTGGAGCCAACTCTGGTCTTAGTCAATGCAGTGGAGATGATTGGGCAATTTTTTTTTCCCACTCAAATATTAATATCACGAAATTTAGTACTGAATGAGTTTGAGACTGAATATCCAATGTAAATCAATCAATTCACAATTTAGAAATACTCCTAAAGTTGACCCTGATTCTCTATTCGACTTCTCTTATATGGAGAGGATGGCATTTAAGGCTGAAAATGTATAGAAAATTCCTCCATAAAAGTACATCAATAATTTAAATTTAAAAAAAAAAAAAAAAAGTGGTGAGATGGGACTACTAAGTAGTAAGTAGTAATTAATTTGGTCCCCAAAGCGAGAGAGACTAGACCCTTCTTTGTGTTTTTATCCAAGCTCAATAGTAGGGGACCATGGCTGAACCCAATTGAATCCTCCCCATAGGTATGTTGGTTCAAGACAGTCTTTCCTTCCCCCCATTAAAGTCCATTAACCTACTGCCTGCACCCATTCCATTCTTGTCGATTTATTGAAACTAGACTGTTTTGGCAGCTTGAAGATCATTGTATCTTTATTCTTTCAGTGAAATTTTGGCATGGTTTGCGCCACGATACGTTTAGACATACTTGTCGTGTTACATATAAAGTGGGAATGCGAACGATGTAAAAGACTTGTAACTTAAATGCACGGCAACAACGCATAAATTCAAGAAGTTAATGGAGTATAAAGTTATAAATAATTGCTGAGTTAATTCAGTACTGCATTTTAGTTTTATTTATAAAATAAAATCAAGATGTTTATCGAATCTAAAGTTATATTAATAATTGTTGAGTTGATTTAGTACTTCATTTTATCATTATTATTGACTTGCAAAGGCCATCAAGACTTGCTTATGGGGACAATTAGTGCATAATTTTAATACTCAAAACTAATCATAATAAACAAACTTTAGGTGTGATAACAATAATATATAACAAAAGGTAAACCAACAATCCAACCACTGTCCCTGTGCCATTTGCTTTGTGACTCGTTTTTCTTCCATTTGTGGGCCCCATTTAACCCCCATCAAATTCCCCATCTTTCTATTTATCAACTACTCACTCCCAAAAGCTTCTAACTAAAAAACCTCGATACAGAGGCTGAGTCTTCATCTGTCAATATTTCCTCCCATTTTGGATATAAAAAGTATTCCCGAGGGCGAACAATTTCAGCTCACAGTGACTCGACTAGGCATGGAGTCGACATTTTTTCTGCAAGCCGTATAACCATAGAGCCCACAAATTGAAGAAGTTACACAAAAGATGGGCAATTACAGGTTTAGATTATCAGATATGATACCAAATGCCTGGTTCTACAAGCTCAAAGATATGAACAAGACCAGAAACTGGAAAAATGCCAACCCTTCGAAGAAAAAACAGCAAAATACAACGCCATCATCAGTTGCCCAACCAATTCAGCCATCAATAAACAGTCAAACATCCCACCTCTCTGACCAAAGAAAATCTTATTATTTCACTAGGGATCTTAATCCTGAACCAAATAATCTCACATTCTACAACAATTCATCATCCACTACACGAGTTTGCGAAAAACAATTTCCAGAACTGCCAAGAAAATCATCCAGGAGGAGACGAAGCACGAAGATAATAAGAAATTCTAGTGTTCGGCCTTCTTCCAGGCTTGTTAGCAGCACGTCCATTTCGGCGGGTTGCAGATGTGAATCAAATGTCAAATCCGTGTGGATTAAACCGGATTCAACCCCGGAAGAGTACCCGAATTCACCAGATGGAAGTTCCTCGTCCGAGAACAAATCTCTCTTGCCTGAATATGGTTCAGATAGGGATACATTTGATGGCATGATTTCATGGTCAACCTCGTGTCGATGCAGAATTGAGAACAATATCATTATTGACATGGAAAATCGAAAGTCATTTGACGAAAAATCTGTTGCGACTAATCACAAGTTTGATGGTTTTGAAAATCTTCCTCCAATCATCACCAAGCGGAGTAAAACCGGCTATGCGAAAAAGGAAACAAAACCGACAGAGACTACTAACCCGGCCAAGATTCTCAGAACCTCGGCCAAATTTGAGGAGAAAAATGCATTCGGATCCCTGTCTGTTAAGGTTGTCAAGGAGGACATTCTGAGTACTTCTCCCAAACAACATAAGGCTACTATAAGTCCTGTCAGAAGATTTCCATGGAATTCACCAGGTCTCAAACTGAGGACTAATTCTCCGAGGCTTGCAGCGAGCCGGAGAGTTCAGGGCCGGAAAAGTACGGTGTCTACTTCAAGTTCGAGCTCAAGAAGAAGTGTATCAGAGAGTTTTGCAATAGTGAAATCATCTCAGAATCCACAGAGAGAATTTAGGGAATCAATGGTGGAGATGATTGTGGAGAACAACATCACAGCATCAAAAGATTTGGAGGAACTTCTTGCCTGCTATCTTTCACTCAATTCTGATGAATATCATGATCTGATCATCAATGTGTTCAAGCAGATTTGGTTTGATATTATTGATATTTGAATTCTTGTAAATTTTTTACTTATCCTTTAATAGATTATAGAGTACTCTAATTAAATAATTATTCTCTCTTTAGAGCAGTAGAGATTCATTATACTGTCTCAAGTGTATTTTCTATTATAATCTCACACATTTGTCTATGCTAATTTAGTATAGTCAGCAAATCTATTTCAGGATTTAATGTAGACCAACATGCATCTACTTAATAATGACATCTTGAGATAAATATTTTATTTGGAAAATTATTCCCAGATTGAGACTGTATTTAGCAAATAAAAAGCAAAAAGTCAGTCATCTTTCAATTAATTGATCCAATTCTCCTATGCCTTTCTAAGGGAATTATTATTTGTCTTTAGTCTGTGTCACATACAAGAAAGTGGGTTGCCTTCTTATTGTCACTGACTTTTCCAAATGCATTTTGAGCTTTTTTCTCTCTATCCAATGTGAAAGAACAATTTTCCTTAAGTAAATTAATTCTCAAGAACATAAAGCTTAAAATTACGAACGGAAGCGATTCAAGGATCTACTGAAGTGATGAGAAGCGCGACGAAAAATACGATTTAAGTGTCGTTGATTCTAAACAAATACCGCAACACAGTTAACATTCTAATTCCTAATAATGCCAGAAAGTTAGGCATCAAAGACATGGCGCAAAACATACCAAGAATTTGGAGAAAACCCTATTATTGTGAAAATGTAATTGACCCTTATAACTAAATTAATAATTAAGTACAAAACATAAAAATAACAAACGTAACTCAAAATCCAAGAATTAATAGTGTTTGCTAAGATAAAGCCAAAAGGGTTTTCTTTCTTTTCTACTGGCTGACAATTTCTTCTATAAATTTGAGCTTCTACTTGAAAAGAAGATACCCCTTTTAAGTACGAAGTTTCAATTTTAGAAATAATATATTTAGGCACTCTCTCTTCGCAATTAAAGCTGAACTTTAATGAATAGTGAAAAGGCTGTGCAAAATTCAAATTGGATCAATCAAATGCATTTGTTTAAAAAAATATATTTTTTGAAATATTTGTACGGGGCAAAGTCAAAGAACACAACTTTGCAAGAGTCTAAAGAAGCTTTTAAACCTGGGCACACCTTGTCTAAAGCTGTGTATTGATTTTATAAAAGCAAAAGTGACTTAGAGATTACAAAGTTTAAGTTTCGTATATGTACGTATTCAAAAGTGAAAATTCAATTTATACGTAAATGAGTACTATTTGTTTAACTTTTTTACTTATTGAATGATCATTACGTTTAAATTATATAAGTGGATACTTATAAATGGTATATGACGAAGATAAAGTCAATTACAGTTAAAAAAGAAGACGATCTAACCTCATTTTACCAACCAACTTCTTTCTTACCTTCCCAGCTCTATAAGGGCTCTTGTCGATTCTTTGGAGACCATAGGTTCCAAAAGTATATTGAGTTTTTTTGCTATAATCGAAATCAGATTAGATTTGTTGAATTTCAGCACAATTTCAATTACATCTTTCCAATTTCGGTTAAGTATTTGTAGCTCAAACGAAATGGTTGAAAAATAAGTGTGAAGATAAATCTCAAGTTTAAATGCTCTCAGCAAAGAGTTTTTTTTTTTTTTTTCCTTCTAAGTTTTACATACATCATTACAAGATTAGGCCTATTGCCCCCACCAATTTGAGGGTGTTCTCCCTTTATGGGACAAAAAACTCCACGCATTATACACTTTGATACTACTTTCCTAGTGAAAATGTACAAATTAATCAAAAGTGTACATATTTGTGTTTAGTAAAATAATTAATATTATGTTGCATGCAATAAAATTCGTCAATTGTTTTGTTTTTATTTTGCTCAACCCAAATCCCAAAAAAGATGATTAAAAATTGAACAAGATTTAGGTTAGTTAATTAATTGATGGACAAGATCGTAATACAGAATCCATTTGATGTTAGTGTCAATCGAATGTATTGACTTTTGCATTAAGGTAAGTTGTCGTTTCTAAGCAATTTGTCTCATCCTTGATTCTAGAGTTTTTCAACACGATTTACAAGAGATAACGTCTCGTTTTTGGCTAATTATTTGAAAAGAAAAGGCTAATTGTCCGCTGACAGTTCAGCAAATTTAAGCACGTATGCGAATTATTAATTTATTATCATTGATTTGATTATGGAAAGAAATCGTTAAATTATTAATTCAGTGCATAAATCGTTACTTCAATGGGTGAGTATTTAGATCGAAAAGCTTAATAAGACAAAAAAAAATGTACAAATAACTTAAGATTAAAAGGTTAAAGGTTGTGTCATAAGCATAGCCAGACCTGAGAAGAGGCCAACGCCTCAGGCTCATCTCTTTAAGGGGTCCAAAAAAAGATTTTTTTTTTTTTTTGTTAAATAAATAAAACAATGACTATTTATACTTGTTCACTTTTGCTCGGTTGCTCTAAACAATGAGACTTCTTCAACAATGTATCGTGAGTCATATAATCAGTGTTAAGATTAGGAACACTCATTCCATTGTATAACACATTTTCGATATATATTTATGTATCGTTACACATATCTTTGTTGATATGACCATTTATTAACTCAAATTTTTTTAATTGCTTTGATTGATAGATCATATATATTTTATTGATTACTTTAGTAGTTTTATCTCCAAATTCAATTACATGTTTTCAGAATCCTATTGATTAGATCATTGTTTTGTTGGTGGAATTGAATTGTTTTTCTCGATCTATGATCTGTTATTAATTAGTGTGATTTTTTGCCTCATATGGGGTAATTGAGAGCAATATATGGTTAAATAGGATGTAATTTAATTTTTTTAAATTTTATTATGTTACATTATGAAAATATTTATGACCTTAGAAACATTGATAATCACTGATTATTTTTAAATTTTTCCCTTTTTTTTTTACAAATTTGATTTCATAGATATCTTATAACCATATTGTAGAATAAAAATAAAAATCTTGTTTTGATTATGTACTTGTGAAATTGAATATTTAGAAACATGGCAAAAGGTCAAATAAGTGAGTCAAATACCATGACTTATACATATGCATTTGGAGCTGAAAAAAAAGAAGAAGAAAAAAATAGAAGCATTAATTTGAAGCCAAGCGGAAGATATGAATAAGTACTTTAATGGCAAATGGGTCCAAAAAATTTTGACATCTTTTCATTTTATTCATTATTTTATTTTTGATTTTAAGTTAACAAATTTAGTTCCGTAAAACTCTTATAAATGAAAAAAAAAATTATTGCTTGTTACGATTTAGGAGCTCAGATTCTGAAATTCGCCTCAGGCCCCACGAAACACAGGTACGGTTCTGGTCATAATTAACTGGAAATGCTTGTGTAATATAAATATCATTTAGTGCATGTTTGGCTAAGCTTAAGAAAATCAACTTATAAGAGATTTTACTTTAAGTAAATAATGATATTTTCAGATAAAATTGTTTTTTGTTTGTCAAAGTTAGAATAAGAATTTTACATATTTTAAAACTAACTCTCACTTTACTATCAAAATAATTAAAATTTCTTTTTCATTTATAAGTAACATATCCAACATATATGTAGAAACAAAATTTACTTAAAAGTAATTTTACTTTATTCATCTTAGCCAAATATGCTGTCAATCTTTTTCTTTTTAACCCAAAAAGAAATTTATATTATCTACTGAAACATTAACATCAATGAAGAATGATTGTTCTTCAATCCATTTCTCATCATGGAAACATGAAAGGGCATTTCAAAATGAGGGCATATAACATATCTTGCGCTAATAAAACAACAGTCTAAAGACCGAAAAAAAGAAGAAAGAGAATTGATATTCAAAAGAAAAATGTACGCTCGTGAGTATGGATCAATCCGAATTAATGCAGCTGATCTTAGTTAGACGACTTCTACTTAAAAGTCATGTCACTGAACTGAACAGTATCAAACATCACGATCGATATATTTTATTACGTACCAAACAAGAGTATTTATTTGGTTGCTTGTTTGACAACTACGTATTATTGCAGAACAATGTGCCTAGAGAATACAAGTCTACGTTCTCAAGTCTGAACCACATTTAGACGATTGGATTCAGACATTCTGTGGACATTACTATTTTCAGACTCTGAGGGACCATTTCACTCACTTTATAATGATAACCACTATTTTCAAAAACAAATTATTTCCATATCCAAAATGTGCACATTTTGTTAAAAAAAATTTCTAGAGAGCATCTAATTTTGACCTAATTTTGTACAATTATGTGACATGCATTGATTGCATGTTTGAAACAGTATTATTAAGGAAAAAAGTATTTGAATTTTCATTTTTATAATGTATCTTGTATTTTAATTCCATAATGTTATTTTCTAGTTTTAATAAATTCTCTATTGAGTTTTTTTATCCAAATTATGTTGAATTTTTGAAAAAATATTTCTTTCCATTCTTTTCACGTGTTTTTATTGGAAAAATACCGTTTTCCTTTATTCCACGTGATTTTTTTATATCTTATTTCCATCTTTGTGTTATTTTTAGGGTTTGGCATGCACTCCTATAAATACTAGATTCTTTTCACAAATTTTGCATTACTGAATTACAAAATAATTGTATATGAACAGTCATTATATTTGTTTTCTCCATATTAGTCAATGGAATAAAATATTTCATTCATATGCCAATTAATTTTTTATATTTATCTTGTTGTTTGTTTGCGATCATATACTTCATATCGTGTCATATATATCACCTCGATCATTTTTATTTCTCAACAAGTGATATCAGAGCTATTGATTGTGATTTGTTCGAAATTTTTGTTATTGATGCAGCCATGAAGTATAAAATTCAATTTTTGGATCACAATACAGGATTGTCACTGCGGCAAGTAAGGATGCGAGTTGTACTCTCGCATATGGATTTGGATAATGCGTTGTTAGGATTTGATAAAATACCCACAACTTGGACGACAAAGGAGAAACGACTGAATAATCGAAAGACACTATCGCAAATCCACCTTCATCTCACTAACAATATTCGTCAAGAGGTTTTAAACGAGAAAACTCCAGCTGTGTTGTTGTTAAAGTTAAAGCAATCGTGCATAACTAAAAGTCCGACAAGTAAATTACACCTGAAGCTGAGATTGTATTCATATCGCATGGCAGAAGACGGATCTTTAAAAAATCATTTGACTGTATTCAAGGAGATCATCGCTAATTTGGAGACTCTAGAGGTAAAGTATGATGAAAAATATTTGGCCTTAATCATTTTATATTCGCTATCTGCTTCATTTAGAAACACGATCTTGTATAGCTGTAATACTCTCATAATTGAAAACGCACTCCATCAACATTTATGAAAAAGAGGTTTGTTGCATTATTATCCCTAATTTTTCATTAATCGGCACAAATAAGCCATGTTTATGATTTTTGTCAAATTATTTTGTTGGCGTGCTTTGGAATGAGGAAACTCATCTGTCGTAATATTTTATTTGTAGTTTTCTTTTTGTTTATTTAAAAACGAGTGTCAAATAAGTTTTTCATAGCCTTTCTAAATAGATTTTTTTGACCAAAATCATCATCAAGTATTAAATTTGCTAATTAGTAGAATTTTGAAATAAGAATAAATCGAGAAAAAGCTAAAAGCACAAGGATAACAATGTACAAAGTCTAAAACATTTTAGAATGATTAAAAAGTGATATAAAAAACAAAAATTATAAAGTCATTATACTACACTTATTATTCCAAGTTGAAATTAACATAAAAATCGTGATGTCAATATAACTACATTGTTATTCCGAAATATTTCCATTTAAATTTATTATAATTCCGGAAAAAGAAAAAAAAAACTATACCATATCTCAAATGAGATAAGCGTCGGTGAGCCGCAAGGTTGGACCATGTTTTTAGCTGAATTTTGGCCACAGAAAGATCTAGTCAAAAAAGAGTTTCTCCACACGAGTTATTTTTCACAATTATAAGAGTTATAGGTCCCATCCAATAATTGTTAAAAGTGGCTTATCTTGTAATCCCAATTGCTCTGTTTGTCTTATCTGAGTCCATCGGCCACGATGGGAAATATTTGTCCGTTCGACTGTTAAAAATAAATCAAGACTTATTAATAACGATATATATAGTGGCAAGTACAAAATATCACTTTGAAAGATGTAAGAGGCAAATGTTCAATCTTGAAAATTAATAAGATGGAATTGCAGCATTTAGTGGGTTTAAAGAGATACATATATACATACATATATACATATATACAAAATTTCTTAAAAAGTAACTTTTAAATGCATTAAAAAATGGTTAATCGAAATGAGTTTTCTAATCTAGGACAAATAGTGTTTTGGTGACAAGTATCACTTGTGCTAGATAACATAATTCTGAATTCAATGCCACTTCACCTATTATTGCTAGTGATATATAGCATTATTCAGATAAAAGATGTTTGTATTACAGAAGAACAATGCTATTTATTATTGGTTTAGATGACATCAGCCGCCTGAATCATTGGCTAATAAATCAAAATGTATTACAACTTCATTAAACAATCACCTATTCCTAGACTATTTAAGAGCACAGGGTGAATTACCAAAATTTTGACACCTCATAAAATTGAAAATGGTGAAGAAAACCGAACATGTGCAGTTGAAAATAGTACAAAGGACGAAAATCTTAAAAGATTCGTGCAAAATAGAGTTGGCACACGAGTGCAGTACTATACTAAACATTATTAAAATTTTGTAATAACAACATAGTATTCCCCATGTGCACATGTCTTTGTATTATGCGATCATAACCTTCCATCTTTATAGTCTATTTTAAAATCCAAATCTGAGTTCTTTTTATTTTTTTTTCCCTCTTTTTTATGGTTGGTGCTATTTTTGCATTCATTTCTTTATATATACCCACCCAATCATATTTTGTTCTTTTTGTTTGTTTCCAAATTTTTTTTAGATTCAGAATTTTTACTGGTGAAAAGCATAATGTTTTGATTCTAATACTTTCAATGGACTCTCTACCCTCTTATGGTGCTATTCAACATGAAATTGTAAAAATGGATAATATGAAACACAATTAATGTCACATATTTCACACTTCATCTATTTGGGTAGAATTTATAAATGCTTTAATTCATATAGATTGAAATAATTGGTGGATAAATGGATTACACTTGGTAGTCTATTAGATTGTATAGTTGAAAATGAAAATTTAAAATTTATAAGTGATTTATAAATTTTGGCAAGCAGTGTGTCAACTTAACAAGAATGCGGTATTTGGCATGAGAAGATAATCGAATGTGCAAGTATTTGAAAAGTTTGATGTTTAAGATCAAGTTAATATTTGAAGGTGTGAAATGTGTACCAAACAGTGGCTATATATATATATGAAATGTTTACTGATTATCATGTCAAACATACGAAGTCTTCGTAGTAAAGAGTATTGAGTGAGTGAATGGTTGCATGTCGATTAATTGGGATAAGATTGATTTGTAAATCCAATCTTAAAAATACAAATATTTCCCAAAAAGACACTACGGAGTAGAATTGTTGCTATTATAAAGTGAAAAATATTCATTAGATTTGTGTGGGATCTTGACGCTGACAATTCAACTATATACATCTCTTTCAGCACCAATTTAGCATTGTCAAGTGCAATCATGTTTCATGTCAAAATTAAGTTGTGTACATCCGTGATGGCTAAAAGTTCAATGTCTGCATATGTTAGTATCATCAAAAGTTAAGAAACAATTTTCGTGATATACATTTTTGGACGTTTCCTTTTGTAAGAAAACTAGTGAAGTCGCTTTTTATGGCAACTAAAATTTTTTAGAAATTGTGGAACACTTACAACTCTACTTTTACCAATCATTGTATATTTTTGGAAATGCCATCTTTCTTACGTAAAACCCAACTAAATGGAAAATGTTAGCCCTATCATAACAATATGGTGACACGAGCTATATCAACGTCTTCTTTAGCTAAAAGGAAGATGCCAAGACATTTGTTTGACACTTTGGCACATTACAACTTTGTCTTCCATTTTCTTTGCAAATATGTTATGTGCAAATGTGTCAAAAATATATTGAGGGAAAGCCAAGAGGGAAAGGTTGATTCACATTTCCTACAGTGAAAATAGCCTTCAATTGTATTTGTAGTACTCTGTAACTTGCATCTTCATGAATTTATAAATTTCTGCTTGCAGTAAGAAAAATGCAAACTAATCTACAAATAATACTTTAAAACCAAGCAAATACACACAAGTCTAATCTTTCTCTATATAATTAAAGCTAAATTTTTCATTTTCAACAACATACTACTGGTTCATGATTAAACCACACCATAATGGTGAAAACAAAACTTGAATGGAAATGGAATCTTAACATCCTACACAAAGACTGAAGAATTTGAATCTCTATTGTCAAATTTGTAAATATATAGATAAATAAACCTTCAAACCTCATCATTAAGGAAAAATTACATAACCTTTTTGTGTCTTCAACGAGGCGGAAAGGAGCCACAGAGGCAGAAAGCTCGGGCTTGCACTGGCAGGTTCCCGCTTACAGTTACTACAAAAATGGAGCATCTCTTTAAGAAATTCAGACAGACAGCGGCGGGAAATCTTCTTGATCTTTGAGATGGTATGATGATTTAAATGAACCCCTACACGTTCAGAGCACGAAACAAGCTCAAACAGACGATTAGCAAAATATCAGTTTCCCAAGATGGTTATCTAAATTATCTATCCCGTGACTCTTTTACCTATCCGGGTCCCTGCTCAATGCAGGTCTGGGCGTTTGCATTCCAGAGGAATCTGGACATGAAATTTGAGGCGAAGACGGGGCTGATCTTTGTTGCCTGTATCGTTCTGAGGAAAAAGTTCCAGAAGGTGTTGGCCCACTTCCACGAGGGGAAAATGGCTGGTGGATCCCAGATGACAAGAGATTGACACTTTGGTCAGCTAGGACTAGAGGTTGAGACTGCTCATGGTTGTTTCTCTCGAGCAAATTTGTCTCAGTAAATATCACATTCCGCCCATTATCACATGGGGAACGCAAAGTTGCCTGATTCTTTCCTTTAACAGCTGAAGGCCTATACCCTTGTGGGGATCGATTCTACAACAAAATGAAGAAATAAAGGAAGAGTAAGCTGTAAATTTATATCGTACCAACTCAAGTAATTATTTCCAAGTAAGAAACATAAAATTCAAATGACCACTTGTATTGGGATAATATTAGTAGTATACCATTTTGGGAAAATATGTTCCCGTTCCTCGGTGTTTAGGCATTTCTTCCCTGCCGAAGGATGCACCGGGTACTAGTACATGGCTCATGGGATACATTGGCATGAAGCCATTGGGATGTCCATGGGAAAAACCATTATGCCTCAGCTGTGATGGATATATGACACTATCCCATGGCTTCTTGTTCTCATATTGAGGGGGTGGCATTGGAGCCATGGGCAAATAAGGCACACCGAAGGTGTATTCATAAAACAACCGACCATACTGCAAACTTTTGAAGTGACTGTCATAATCCCCACTGAGATCTGACAAGGAGTTTGAAGATTCCGGAATTGCACTCCTGCTCCTTGTGCCCTGATGCAAACTCGCATGATCTGAATCTTGAGGCATACCAATTGCATTGACACTCTCTTTGAGAACTTGGGTGTAAGACTTGGGAGAATCACTAGAAATATTAAGGCATGCAATGCTTGGGGTAGCAAGGTCATCTGCATCTCCAAAGAAACGATGGTCTGCAGCATTGGCAGAGTTTTCAACTTTATATGACTCTGTCCCTAAACTAGATGACGCGGGAATGAAACCATTGTATGTTGATTGCGGGTAGGGATCTTGAACAACAGGCTTCTGTCCACGTCCATGTCTCTGCATAGTGCTCAAAAAAAATATTTGAAGCTCATTAGTGATACGATCTTCTGGCTGCACGAGTATTTGCCCAAGTTTTTTAGCGCCATAAGAGAAAGCACTGCGTATCCGGTAAAAATTTCCTATACAGAACAAGCAAGTAATAATTGAGCTAATTTCTTGACAAAAATGAAGAGTAGTCATCTGGCAATAGCTACTAGTTAATGTACTTGAGGAAGATGCCACACTAAACAAACTTCGTAATGCAAAGAAAAGAAGCATACAAATCTAGCGATTTTTTTTAATTTTTAATTTTAATTTTAAATTTTTTTGCAACAAAAATTATGATCACGTGTTTCTGTTTTGATCAATATGGAAAACTATGAACTCCATTCGAGTTGAATAACAATGGGATTCTACCTTTGCTGATACTCCTGCCAAGATTATTGATCTCTTTTAGTGGATCAACAATGTTGAGATGTTTTGGTTGAAATCCACGGGATTTTTGGTCAGCATATCTCAAAGGAACGGAGAACATTTCAATGCAAGATCTTAAATAATCATCTGTAAGTAGTAAATCACCACTACCATCTTCAGGTGTCTCAGCTGCGATAGAGACAAGAAGAGTAAGTTAAGTTATAAGAATCTAGCTCGTAATTCAGAGAAAAACAGACTGAAATTATGTGGGGACCCTATTCCAGAGTATGGTTCTCACCCACAATGACCGGCAATGAGGAAATTCGAACTGGTCCTTTCAAACTAATGCAATACATCTCCCAGTCAAATTTGCTGAAGTAGTCCAAAAATTTGTATAGGACCTAAAATCAGAAATTAAAATTATTAGGTTAATTTTTTAAATGCATATTTAGGTTAAAAACAATTATACTTGAAAGCACTCACTGCTAAAGGACCATCTAACGTTGTGTGGAAAAGATGGAAGATGTACAAGACCAATGTCTCCAAAGCATAAGTAGAAATCAAGCCATGATGAGCACCAAGAATCCGACTCTCGTAATAGCACCATGCCTTGATCAGTATGATACTGCGCTTAAACAAATGATTTTTGCCAATGAGGCGATCCACCTGAAATATAAGTAGAATTCAAATGTGAAGTAAAAAAGTATGGTTCCACCTTCATGTATATAATTAGTGACAGGTGTAAAAAAATCTAACGTCCTAACATAACCTGAAAGATAATTCTTGATGCTTCATGGAATCCAAGGATCATGATTAAACATGCATTTAAGGGCAACATAAAGTACTAAGAAATTTACATAGAAATGAGTTTGTGCGTGAGAGGACAGACCAACAATAACAGGAACAAATGAGAAAATACATTTTACTAAATAATAAAATTTCAAGAATCAAGATATAGAGCCCAAGTCTTTATTTCATCACATAAAACTCACAATCTATAAAAAATAGCCGTGCATCACAGAAAATCAACCTCAATATATAGTAATAATATCACCTCATGACACACTTGTTTCAGGTTTTACAGTATTAGAATAAGAAAATTAAAAAAAAAATCAACTAATAAGAGATTCAAAAAAGTCAGACTTGGTTAAGATGCGCATCTGATAATTGTTTTCAACATATCAAATTACTTTAGGATTGAATTTACCTGCTCAAGAAAGCATAAGGTACACAGCCCACCAATTTGATTAAAGGAAATATCCACAACAATATTCTGCACGAGGCATTTTACAAGCTTAACCTGCCACAAAATAACCATACATCAAGAAGGTAGAAAGAGAATATGCGTGGAGTGTAAAATGATTATGAATAGATGCACGATGAGTTTAAGACAAATAAAATGTCAATTCTAATAAATGGTAGAATTTCCTCCCTTATCACATTAGAAGAACTACAAAAGCAAGTATTCTGCAACCAAGCAGCTTCCAAACTACTAAATTAAATGAATAATAAGAAACTTTCTAATTCAAGAACATTATTTAGAAAGTCTTTCCAGCTCAAACACTCAAAATCACTCATTCATGCTCAGAAAACCCTCCGTGAATAGGGCATTTTAAACAATCTAGACCAAGCTTGATATAGTTTAGTAAATCTTTTCCACCACTAGGTAAATTAATCTTCCAAAACACATGCAAAGAAATTTGGTCATGTTAAAAGTATCAAGATAGAGATAATGAGAACATGAACCAAGTATTTAGACAAATCCAGTAACTCGTATGAAGTGATCAGCTGCAGTACCTATATGATAGCGCAGTACCTCAGTAAGAAACCATAAATTGGTTTTCCACTTAAATGTTATGTTAATCATATTTTTATCTTGGTTGACCAAATGAATCATCTTTAATTTTTGCTCCATCAAGACCATCTCTAAACTTAAATAACCAAAGATTCAAACCTTCTTAATTACCTCACTCCACGTGATTTCAGATAGACATCTTCCTCTATATTTGCATCAGTAGTAGTTCTCTCACATTCCCTAATAGGGTCACCCAACAACCTTCTCTGGAAGTGTCAAGCCATCTTAATCTGTTCTACCAAAATTGATCCTCTATGGCTGCCTCTTACTTTATTTCTTCTCTTTTCTAACGAAAAATTATATTTAATATTCCAAGCCTACACATGGATAGTCACTCCTGTAACCATGATGTATTTTTGCTTGCTTGAACATAAATTTCTTTCCAAAAGAGAAACTCAGCTACTCATAATTGAATAAATGCCACTCCTTTACTCTTAATTGGAATTTGTGGATCACATCGAAACCCAAATATACTCCTCATCTAATCCTTCCACCCCTAATCCTATGAGCAGCATCTTGTATTTCTCTTTCCCCACAAAACATTGAGCACGAGCATTGCAATTTACAACTTATAGGAACATAATCACCTTGAACGTTTACTGTATCTCAGCAATTACTACTAACTTGACTAAAATTACATTCAATGATCATTCATGCTCAGCTAATTTGAAACCCTCCTTATTCCCACCCCCCTCCCCCACCAAAAAAAAAAATCCTTTATAACTCTAATTTAAAAATGAATACCTTTTCAATCTCATCCATCAACATAATATCATCAACATAAAGAATACACATTGGACCCCATTCTTTATGCCCTTATTCAATTCTGTCGTGAAGTTTTGGGTAGGAGAAAGATCTCTTTTTATTATTGATATCCTACCAACTATATACAAGGATGAAAGAGAATTTTACAAATTTACATCTAAGTCCCTAACAATTACAAGGACACAAGTTGGTATATATTTCAACTCTCCCCCTCAAGTTGGTGCATAGATATCACACATGCCCAACTTGGATAGCATTGTATAGAATGAACCACTAGCAACTCCATGTGTCATTATATCAGCCAGTTGTTCCGCCCTCTTGATGTAAGGAACCTCTATAATTTTGGAGTCAAGATTATCTTTGATGTAGTTCCTATCAAGTTCCACATGCTTTGTTCTATCATGTTGCACAGGGTTGTTTAAAATTTTAATGGCAGCAGTGTTGTCACAGAAAAGTAACATGGGCTTATCCGGACCAAAGCCAAGTTCACTAAGGAGAAGTTTTAGCCATGTAAGTTCGGTAGTCGCATGAGGCAATGCACGATATTCCGCCTCAGCACTGGATAGTGAAACCACGTTCTGTTTCTTACTCCTCCAAGTCACAAGATTGCCCCCAACAAACGATACATATCCTGATGTGGATTTTCTGTCCAATCTCGATCCAGCAAAATCAAAATCCATATAACCCATAATATCTAAATGGCCCCACTTTGAATACCTAATGCCCTTGCCTAGAGAGGACTTTAGATATGCCAATATCCGATTAACTGCACCTATATGCTACTCACTGGGATTATGCATGAACTGACTCACAACGCTAATTGCATATGACAAATCAGGTCTCGTGTGAGTTAGATAGATCAACTTCCCTACCAATCTCTGATATCTCTCCTTGTTTGTGGGAATCTGATCAGGATAAATAGATAGGCCATGGTTTACCTCAATGGGTGTGTCGACAGGGACACAAGCTGACATACCTGTTTCTGCTAAGAGGTCAAGGACGTACTTGCGTTGCGATAAGATAAGTCCTTGATTGGACCGTGATACCTCAATTCCCAAGAATTCAAAGTACCCAAGTCCTTCATTTCGAACTCCTTCGTCAAATGGCTTCGGAGTTTCTCAATCTCACTAGGATTACTGCCAGTAACAATCATATCATCCACATACACAATAAGCATAGTAATATTGTGACCATCTCTTTTATAAAATAAAGTATAATCAGCCGATGCCTGTTTAAAACCATACTTTTTCATTGAACAACTCAATCTTCCAAACCATGCCCTTGGTGATTGTTTTAGCCCATACAGGGCTTTCTTCAGCTTACACACATTACCCCCTGGAGGGGTGAAACCTGGAGGAGGATCCATATACACTTCCTCTGTCAGATCACCATGAAGGAATGCATTTTTAACGTCAAATTGCCTCAATGGCCAATCAAGATTGACTGCTAGAGATAGGATGACTCTAACTGTATTCATCTTAGCTACTGGAGCAAAAGTTTCCTGGTAGTCAATTTCAAATGTCTGTGTGTACCCTTTGGCAACCAATCTAACTTTATACCTATCCACAGTTCTATCTGACCTGTATTTTAATGAGTACACCCACTTGCATCCTACAGTCCTTTTTCCTGATGGTAATAAGACCATCTCCCAAGTAGAATTCTTTTGGAGAGCATTCATCTCTTCTACCATAGCAAATTTTCACTTAGGTTGATCAAGAGCTTCCTGAAAGTGATTAGGAATTGACACAGAAGAAAGTTGGAGGGCGAACGTCATATTAGTTTTAGATAAACGGTGGTACGAAATATAGTCAGATATGGGAAAGATTGCATTGAAAGAGGATTTCGAAAAACCAAACCTATCGGGTTTATTATGGACTTGGAGGGGATATCTCCTATCCTGAGTATCAACAATATCTAAAGCTTCAGGATTAGTATCAGAAATAGAGGTAGGAGTAGGAGTATGTACCTCATTTTCAATCTCTGAAGAATCAGATGGCACTGTAGTATCAACATGAGGGTTATCAGGGTCCGAAGAGGGAAACATAGGGGTGCGAGCATTTTCTGAGTTTCTTCTTGTATAACACTTTTGGAACAAGCGAGGTGATCTATCATCCTCAACTTGATATTCAATTTGGGATTCAACTTGGGATTCTCCCTCCTTTCCAGAAATTCACACTTTCTTTTCATCTAACCACACTCGTTCCTCTTCCTTACTACTAATCTCCCCCTGAAGAGGAACTAACGACACATCATTAGAGAAAAAAGATTCTGATTCACAAAATTCCATGTCCATAGAAACATAGTACTTTCCCGTAAGGGGATGAAAGCATTTGTAGCCCTTCTGGGAGCTTGAGTAGCCAAGGAAGACACATTTCAGGGCACGAGAATCAAATTTATCTCTGAGATGAGAATACACATGGACATAACACACACAACCAAAAATTTTTGGACAGATACTTACAACAGAGGGAAGAGAGTGAAACTGAGACAACATTTTTAAAGGAGTTTTAAAGTCAATAATGCGAGAAGGCATGCGATTTATAAGAAAGACAGCGGTCATCACCGCCTCAACCCAAAACCGTTTTGGAACACACATAGTAAAGCATAAAACCCGAGCTACTTCAAGAATGTGTCTATTTTTTCGCTCTGCGATGCCGTTTTGTTGAGGTGTGTAAGCACAAGTGGTTTGATGAAGAATGCCATGAGTTGAGAAGAAGTTGCCCAAGGTTTGATTTACAAACTCACGACCATTGTCAGAATGAATAACTTTAACTCGTGTATGAAATTGTGTCTCAATCATTTTTGAGAATTCTGGAATACCATGTACTACTTCACCCTTAGATTTTAACAAATATACCCAACATACTCTGGTACAATCATCAATGAAAGAGACAAAATATTTATGACCTGCAATAGATGGAGTCGAGAAAGGCCCCCAAACATCAGTATGAACACAAGTAAAAGGAACTGCACTTTTATTAAAACTTACTTTGAAAGGTACACGATGATTTTTGGCAAAAATACATTGTTCACACCGCATACTAGAACTAGAAATGTTTTTAAACAGTTCTGGGAACAAGTGTTCTAAATAAGAAAATGAGGGATGGCCTAATCGACAATGCCACAAAAGAATTCTATCCATTGGAGGGGATTTACTAACAGCTTGAAGACCGTGGCTATCCCTAGTTTGCAAACCCCTCGTTCCTTCCAAAAAATACAACCCTCCTTTTTCTCTACCAGTGCCAATCGTCATCTTCGTTCGATTGTCTTGAAATACACAATTAGTAGGTGAAACGATGACAGAGCAATCAAGATGCTTTGTAATTTTACTAATAGATAAGAGATTAGTAGAAAAAGTAGGTGCAAGTAAAACAGATGAAAGAGAGAATGAAGGTGAAAACAAAACATTTCCGGCCCCGGTAATTTTGACAGGAGTCCCATTAGCCATTTGAACAGACCGAACAGGCGAAGTAGTCAAGAAATCAAATGTAGAGGGATTACAGGTAAAATGATCGATAGCTCCAGAATCAATAACCCAACAATCAGATACGGTAGAAGTAATGCAACCCAAAAATACCTTCCCCGGGAGATGAACGAACAACATTGGAAACAATAGGTGTAGGTGAATGAGTAGAAGCAACAGATGAATGCGTAGCCTGAGAGTATCTTCCACCCTTCCTCTCTGTCTTCTTTGCTAAATACCAATCCGGATAGCCATGTTTCTTGAAACGTTTGTCAGCAGTATGCCCTTTAAGGTGACAGAATGAGCAAGTATCAGTAGAATGAAAAAGGGCTCGTGATCGAGGAACGAGCCCTTTTGCCGCTAATGCAGATGTCTCAGAATGGTTTTCGGCTCCCATAGTGAGTTGCCTCTGTTCCTCACGACGAACAATCGAGAATACCTCTTCCAAGCTTGGAAGGGGTGTAGTAGCCAAAATACGACTACGCACTTGATCCAAGCTATGATCTAATCCCGCAAGGAACATATAAATCCTGTCTTCAGCACACCTTACTTTTAACGCATCAACATCCACAGCACACTTCATAGGATTGGGTCTGCGATAGTCAAGTTCCAAGAAAATAGAGTTCATTTCAGTATAGTACGTGACAAGAGGCCGCCCCTCTTGCCGCAGTTGAAAGGACTTTTTCATAAGTTCATGCACTTGTGACGAATCAAAGACATCAAGATAACTTCGCTTAACTGCATCCCACACATCTTTAGCTGAGTCAAACTGAACAAAATGAGCCACAAGGGCGTCTGTCATAAAATTGATAAGCCAAGACTTAACAATAGCGTCATCCGCCACCCACTCACCATAGCTACTATCACTCTCTTTAGGTATAGTTAGTTCACCAAAAATATGAACTCTTTTCTTCCGGCCAGTAATGTGCATTTCCAACAATTTTGACCACACACGATAGTTAGTACCATCTAACTTAATGTGAATCGGAGATGATGTCTCATGAATTAATGATGTAGCCACTTTGTTCTCCATCAATTTTTCAAGAATAGTTTGGGAAACAATGGGAAAACTGAGACTACCGAATGCAAACAATACGAATTCAGTCTTCAGCCACTAAAAACAGAGAAAACTTCAAAACACCCAAAAAATCTCTCAGGCGGAAGCTTGAGCGAGAGACAGAGAGAGCAGACAGTGAGAAGTGAGCTGAAGAACCTGGAAAAAATCTCTCAGGCGGCGCCACGTCAGCGCCGGAGCTGCGCAGGAGCAGGCCGACTCTGGGTAATCAAGAACAAAGTCGAAAAAAAACTCCCAAACCGAAGGAGCTGAAGACCCGTGCGCCTAGGGTTCGCGTAACAGTGCTCTGGTACTGTTTGGACACAATGGAGACTACAGCGGAGGTCGCCGGCGTCTGGGTAACAAGGAGAAGACGTCGCCGGCGCCGGTACTAAAGGTCGGTAGGTTTAATCAACGCCCCAGGCTCTGATACCATGTCGTGAAGTTTTGGGTAAGAGAAAGATCTCTTTTTATTATTGATATCCTACCAACTATATACAAGGATGAAAGAGAATTTTACAAATTTACATCTAAGTCCCTAACAATTACAAGGACACAAGTTGGTATATATTTCAACTAATTCATCCATAGTTAAAACAAATATATTTGGAAATAAAGCTGACCCTTGAGAGAAGGTACGGTAATTGGAAACACAAAAGAGACTCCCTCCATGAACATAGTCCCCTCATGTTCATATCCTTGATAAAATCAATGTTCATACAATCATGCGAAGATCTTTCTTTTCCTTCCCACATCACTCCATAAAACAAAGAAGTAACGCAACCGATTTCAAAATTTGTTATCTTTCCTTGTTTAAAGCAAATAGGTCATCCCTCGACACCGTTTAGTAGATCAATTGTACGTAGATAACCTCATCTAGATATGATGGAACAAGAATCAAATGATACTCATTTAAACACAAGTTTGAATGCCAATATCAATGCAACCCCTTACACCATTAGCACGAGGAGAGGCTCAAGGGATAACATCAAGAACAAATTCTATATCATCTTCGTTAACGGAGCAAGTAGTAATTTTTAAAAGAAAAAGAAGACTCTCAACTTGTAATACAACTACTTAGCATTCATATTTAGCGTAATAGAATTAATACAAAACCAACAAGTACATGCATACATGTGAATACAAAAAGAAATATTCCCACAACCCATGCCAATGAATCTAGGAAAAGCAGAATAAGAATAAAGATTAACAGAAAAACAAATGAGCATAAAAACAAGAAAGAGATTTTGGAAGGGACATTACGTGTGAAATTTTTTAAATACTTCTTATACTCAAGGGCTAGATGGTAATACGGGAATCACAAATAGGTTGACTTCCCAGATTCGGTAAAGCCAAATTGATTTTTGTAAAATAAAGACAAAGGATTTCTAGGGGCAAGCACAGGGTACATTATTAGTGAACTAATGGTTGCATGCTGACTACAGCTCGAGACCTTTACACCAACATAAAAATGTATGGGAAGAAGCAGATTAGAGAGATGCAAACCTCAGCAGAAATGAGCTGCACATCCTTTATTACAAGCTCTGATGACCTATTATTTTCTTCTTCTTCAAGTACAAATTTCATATCCTCGGCCAACCTATCTTCAACATTAGCGCCAAAGGCAGTCAAATCAATATCTCCATCGGGGAGATATGTCTTTAATGGTACGGAACCATAAGGGAATACCTGCACAAATATAAAACGTCCAATAAATATAGCTCGTAAAAGGTTCGAAAACACAAAAAGAAGGATATGATTTATTAATGAGCCCTAAAAACTAATAAACATAAAGTCAGCTTTGGAAAAGTATTAACAAGCATATGACTAAGAGAGGTACTTTCTCCAATTTGACCAAATAGTAGGGGACAAACAGGGTAAATATATATGTAAGTGTACTGTTTTGTCTTTTGTGTACATATTAGATACTAAAATTGTCATATTTATTGGTAAGAAGAATTGAAAGACAGTTATATAAGTTCAACCGACCAAACTAAATTATGTATTGACAAATTTCTATTACCTAATGGAAGATGGACGCAGAGACCATAGTGTTTCTTCCCTAATATTGACAAAGAATATCCTTATTAGATTATTAAGCATTAAGAGATTTTGTCATTAGTTCTGACACATAAAAGTGCAAATCCACTAACTATACTCGGTAAAGCTACATGGACAATAAAGAGTCCTTCATTATCAGATAAACAAAAGACAAGTATTGCATTAATTTATCTCAAAACCATTTTTTCCTGATTTACAGATTTCCATTTCCAGCCAAAGAAACGGGAAAAATGAACGAGTACTTTTCAAAATTCTAGATTCAACTCAGCATAAACCCGTCCTCTTGCATCTTTTTAGCCCTCCATGTGTCATAGAGCATTGTTCAATGGGTATTGACCGTCATAAATCAACATAATCTCATGACAATTTTGCCCTGATTTACACAATCACACATTCATATCCTCAAGAAGTTCTTCTACAAAAAGCAAGAGCAAAAGCAAAAATACTACCAAACAAGCCCTAAATACTACTAAATTCACTCGATAACTTGTCTCTTTGCATCTTTGTCACTAATTACTGTCAATAGGATCTGTAGAATCAATAATTGTTATATTACAGAATAATTGGTAGATTGTAATTGATAGATTGCAAAATAATTGCAGGATCCATAATTAGCATATTCAATTAGCATATATAATTGATAGATTCTATTGAAATCTTTCTTCACCTTATTTACATCAATTGAACATATTGATAGAGATTAGTTTTCCTTTATTAGCTTTGTCATATATGGCTGTAAATATAGACTTTCCATGTAAAGCTACCAGATTTTTCTATTTAAAGGAATCCTCACATGAGATATTTCTCTACTTCTAAAGAGATATGAGAATATCTAGGCCGGATATATAATCAAGAAAAAAATGCACTCCGTTTTCAGTTGAAATTGGAGATAGCAAAATTTAGTCAAGGTAATCTTTCTACTGAACAATATTATTCCGGTTTCTTGAACTTATGGAGCGAATATTCGGGAATTATACATGCCAAGGTACCCAAGGAGGTATCTTCACTTCAAGCAGTCGATGAGAAGAGTAGACGTTATCAATTTCGGATGAAATTAAGAATATATGAGGCTACACAAGCTGGGTTATTAAACAGAAATCCAGTTCCTACATTAGATGTTTGCCTTGGAGAGTTGATGCGGGAAGAATAGAGATTGGCTAATTAGGCACGAATTGGACAAGAGATGTTATATTCTAAGATAGTAAATGTCCCCAATGCAACCCAGGGAAGAGGAAGAGGGAGAGGAGAAGGTCAAATCCTATACTACAATTACAAGGAATTTGGCCATATTGCTACCAACTGCACAAGGCAATATTGTAATTATTGCAAGAAACCGGGGCATATCATCAAAGCATGTCCGATTTGTCCTCAAAATCGACAAGCACATGCATTTCAAGCTCTTGTCCAAACTACACCCATGGCAGAATCTTCACCTATTGTAGCTCCGACAAGCACCACAGCAAGTCCTAGTCAAGATGTCCTCACTCCTGAAATGGTCCAAAAGTTGATCATCTCAGCCTTTTCTGCATTTGGCCTTCAAGGTAATGGTAAGACATACTCATCTCCTTGGTTTGTTGATTCAAGAGCTTCCAATCATGGTCAGTGAGTCATTGCTTATTGTTCAGAGTTATAATGGTCCTCAATACATTCAAATCGCAAATGGGAATCACATACCCATTAATGCATTTGGTGATATTATCCTTTCCTTCCAGAATGTTTTTGTATCTCATGGGTTATTTGCTAATTTAATTTCAATTGGACAGTTAGTGGATAATAACTGTAACATTTCCTTCTCTCTTGGTGGTTGGTTTATGCAGAATCAGGTGTTGAGGAAGGTGATCACGAAGGGGCCTAAAATGGGACGATTGTTTCCAATGTAGAATTTTATTCCCAGCATTTTATCTTTGGCTTGTAATACTGTAAGCAATTAACTAAGGTTTAGCATAAGCGATTAGGCCATCCCAATTCTTTAATTTTACAGCATTTGTTTAACTATGGTTTTTTGAAAAATAAAGATCTAATTTCTACTCATGACTTGTCTATTAATTTTACTTTTTGCAAACTTGGTAAAAGCAATATTTTTCCTTTTCCTATGCATGGTAGTCGAGTTACCAGATGTTTTGATGTTATCTACTGTGATATTTGGGTTATAACACCAGTTTCTATGCATGCCTATCAAAATATTTTGTAACATTCATAGATGATTATAGCCGTTTCACATAGTGATGGCAATGGGCCGAGCCGAGCCAGCTCCGCCCATTGCCCCACGAGCTCGGCTCGTTGCCCTACGAGCCGAGCT